GAAAAAAAAAAAAAAAAAAAAAAAAAAAAAAAAAAAAAGTATGAAAGCCACTGGTCTATGAAACTGTAACCTTAATAAGAACATAAAGTAGCAACAAGACTATGGGCTCTTAAAAAAACCTAAATCCTGGGCCAGCCCATGGCTCACTTGGGAGAGTGTGGTGCCGATAACACCAAGGCCATGGGTTCAGATCCCTGTATAGGGATGGCCAGTTGGCTCACTTGGGAGAGCGTGGTGCTGACAACACCAAGGGTTAGGATCCCCTTACCGGTCATCTTTTTTTTTAAAAAAAAAAATGTTTTTAAACCAAAAAAAAGAAAACCTAAATCCTAATTTCTCAAGTACATTCTGTGAAAATCGTCATCACAGCACCCTGGGGTGTTTGAAAATGGAGATTCTTAAGCCCTGCCCTAACACTGAATCATAAGACTCTCTTATGTTGGAACCCAGGGTCTGAATTTTTTGCAAGCACCTTTGCTTTTAGCTTTTTCTAAGGTGAGGACATTTATGTCCCATGTGAATGCTCACCAAAGGGTGACCTGAGGAGAGAAGATTGTAGTCGATTGAATTATGTCCCCTCAAAACTCACTGAAGCTAAATTGTGTCCCCCAAGTTTTATGTATTAGAAACTTGGCCCCCACTGTGACTGTTAAGAGGGTGAGAAATCCTATTATGTTAACTGAAAGGTGAAGCCTTGAAGAAGTGATTGGATTGTAGGACCCTGCAGTAGTGAACAGATTAAAAATGGTGGTCAGGGGCGTGGCTCTGAGGGGTTTAAAAGAAGAGAGTCTGTCTCTCTGCTCTGCTTCCACCATCTTGCAACGTAAGACCCCTCCCTGGCTCACTGTCGCCACCACCAGATGGACTTTGGACTTCATAGCCTCAGAAACTGTAAGCAATAAATGATGTTTTTCTTTATAAATTACCCAGTTCCAGATATCTTGTTATAAGCAAACAGACTAATACAAAGATTTTAATGAACAAATAGATAGGTGACAGGCTGACTGG